GGTAAGAAGATCAACAGCCTTGGAAGTGTGAGTGCGATAAAGGAGAATTCAAGAAACTGACGAGTAGGCCGTGGGTACAGGGTTTCGGTCTCGCTGGTCTTGGAGCAGGCTTGAGCTTAGCTCAGAAAGGCGTTCGACATGGTGCCGCCCTCCTTCGGCGTCGTATGCTCGTGGATGTCGAAATCAGTATCAAGGACGATTCTTATCCCTGGTTTCTCCACTGGATGACCCTCTATCAACAATCACAACTTAACGCCGCTCGCTCCGCAGCCAGCAGGTCTGGCTTCATGGAAACTATCCTCCAGAAACTGACACCGGGAATGCGCCACCTCTCGATACAGACACAAAAGGTCGAACATGCGAATGGCGCTATGCACACACACTTTGCACTGGTCCCTGGTCCGGGAAGGCATGTTTTACGTTACAAAAATGCGTTCATCTTCGTCAATCGGATGCGGGAGTCCAAGTCGCAGGATTTACAGACGGGCCGGCCATGGGAGACGATCACATTGACCACACTCTATTCACATCGGCACATTTTCGAAGATCTGTTCAAGGAGGCTCATGCATATGCGGCCAAGTCACACGAAGGCAAGACGTCCATCTACAATAGTTGGGGCACGGAATGGAGACTATTTGGACAACCGCGGAGAAAGCGCCCATTGGACTCGGTGATTCTTGACGAAGGTGTCAAGGAGCGGATTGTGGAAGACGTGAAGGACTTTGTTTCTAGTGCAAAGTGGTACCATGACCGGGGAATTCCCTACAGACGCGGCTATTTGCTCTATGGGCCACCTGGTACGGGAAAGAGCTCGTTCATCCAGGCATTAGCGGGAGAGTTGGACTATGACATCGCCATCTTGAACCTTAGTGAGCGGGGGCTGACTGATGATCGACTGAATCACCTGCTCACTATTGTGCCGAACCGAACCATTGTCCTATTGGAGGATGTGGATGCTGCTTTCTCGAATCGGCGTCAAACTGACTCGGACGGGTACCGCGGCGCCAATGTGACATTTTCAGGCCTGCTAAATGCCTTGGATGGTGTTGCGAGTGCTGAGGAGCGTATTATTTTCCTCACAACAAATCATGTCGAGCGACTCGACGAAGCCTTGGTTCGGCCCGGTCGAGTTGACATGACCGTTCGTCTAGGCGAAGTCACTCGCTACCAAGTCCGCTGTTTATGGGATAGGTTCTATGGTGACCTTGACACAAACGGATCTTATAGGCGAGCATTCCTCGACCGGCTACAGGAGTTAGGCCTCATAGAAGACGAGAAAGGCTTCAAAGCCGATCGGTCGAGAAATACAAGTGCTGCGGCGCTGCAGGGCTTGTTTCTGTACAACAAGGGAAATATGGAGGGGGCAATCGCAATGGCCGAGGCACTCACACGTACAGTGCATGATTCGGCCGAGGGCGACCATTAGTATGTACATCATCATGACTTGTAAATATATTTGATAGATCTGTGAGCATGCATGTATCAGGACGGCGTCAAGTCAAACATTGTTTGTTTCTACATAAGCAATCAGAAATGTGAACTCGATGACGCTGGTGCAGATTCACCAACTACCTAAGCACCCCAGATGGTAATCGGCACTGAATCTTCTAGTTCTGCCACCCTCCCTGGGCTTGCACAGCCATCGTGATGACTAGTAATTGGGATTATTCCTATCACTTGAATGGTTCTTCAGCGATCATTTTCAAGGCAACTAACCAATCATGACAATCAGCACACAGCTGACGGGATAGCCTTCCTGAGTAGTCGAACTACTGTCAATTCTCCATCCTCTTCAAGACCACGCGAGTACGAGACCAATGGGACACCAGATCCTTCGCATCTCACCGACATCGCCAAGCCGATCATCCTGTGTCGAAGCGCTGCGACAACAGTCACTCCAGGCACGCAGCCAATCACCCCGCCGGCAAGCTGTCACCTTAACCGCCGACATCACAACCACCAAGATATGCTGCAGGATAATTCAGTTTCTTCACACTAGCTGGAGCCTCTCACATTTCAGACCCTTGACGCTCTGCATGATGGATTTATGGCGTCTACGGACCCGGAAACTCTGGAGAGTGAGGGGTATATGTCAATGTTGATCCGCCTTTTCACCAGCATGTCGATTCAATGCAGTTTTCCATTCTGATTCCTGGTCTTTTGAATTAGAGCATCGTCTGATGTCGTTTCTGCGCTGACATTGACGATTTTGCCTGTGTACAGTGTGAAACAAGCATTCAAAAATCGATTCGCGTTTGGTGTGTCTGTTTCTATACGTGTGGCCTGCCGTTTATCCTCTACTTGACTGGGCCTCGATTTCGATTTCGTTCGGATTGAGAGATGAGTCAGTTTCAGTTGTTTCCTCCACCTTCACCTGTAGGCGGAGGCTCGAAGAATCCTTTTCGCAAAGGAATCAAGAAACCGGCTGCAAAGCCGCAGCCATCGAGTCCAGTACCTTTGGAGGACCTCAAAGGCTCGCAGACAGAAGCAGTGCTTTTGCAGATTATAGAGGACACAAACAAGGTTCAGCCACCTCCAAAGGCACATGTAGCCCGAGAAACACCACTGTCGATACCGGAGACAATACGTGAACCCGAGTCTGAGTCGCTGTATAATGCTACTCCACGGATCGGGACCGCAGAAAGAGAACGCTCGCCAACACCTAAGACCAAACCTTCATTACCACGAGTCCAGGTAGGCTCTCGTCAAATGTCTCCGCAACCCCCTGAGCCTCCGGTAATTCCCATGAAATCGATATTCCCTCGCTACGATCCGAATTTCCCGCTCAGCCAACAGCAGTACTACCCTCAATCCTCGGGGAGTACGCCGCGGTCTCGCCACAATCCTCGAGGGCTGACTCTGACGCCAGAGCCGGAAATTGACCGCGCCCTGGGGCCCAAGACGGTCCCTGCGAGCGTATTGAACTTTCCAACGGATATGTTGGAGCCGCTTGAGGTACACTACTCATCTGCAGCGGAGCTGAAGGGTCTTTGGGAAGTTGCCAATGGACAAAGGCCGCAGAATCTTATGGGGACATTCAATCTGCGTATGCATAGGTGAGCATTCTGCTAAATTGGTATTCGGCTAAGCTAATGGGGTGCAGGACCGATCATGCAACGTTCACTTTCGGAAATCCGCAGTCTCCGTTTTACACGATGCATACCTTCTCGACGGATGAGCTGTCTATTGCCAGAGCACACCCGATGAAACCAATCAGCAGTGTCTCCGTGATGATGTTGAAACTGGAGGAGCGAAAGCGTCGGCTACCGCCCAACGACGGACTGGTCACACTGTTGTTCTCCCGACTGGCTGCAATGCTAGCTATCGGCGAAGCAGAGGAACTAGCAAAGCAACATGGCCTTTCTTCAACCGAAGCGAGCAAAGTGGAAGGCAACGCGCTGAAGCGAGCAGCTGCACAAGAGTCCTGCAGGCTTCTCTGGAATAACGAGAAGCACCTGTACGAGCTCCAGCACCCATCCCACTGCAAACAGCAACCGCCCGCCCTCGTCGGCGCAGCTGGCTTCGGTGCGGCGGGCATTCCCCTTTCTCCAGTGCGGTCGAAGTACGCGGGAATCCTCCACATCACAGTCTCGACTCCGTCAAGCGACGCGAAGTCCCGTCAACCCCCGACGATCATCGTGACGACGCCTCTATCACCCAACGCGCTGGAGGCTGCCACCCAGGCGGCCACACCACGCACCTCTACCCTTCCGTTGACCGACTCGGACGAGCCGCTGGCGTCACTTGACCTAGGCACAATGACTCTGTCGATTTCTGCGACGGCCATCATCAATACCATCCCGTCACTGTATGCCATCGACTCCCTGGTAGCGGCCATGCTGGCCGTGGCTGCTTCAGACGAGACGACCAATCCTATTCTGGCGGATATGGCTGTGTATGATTCCAAGCAGGAATCACATCACTTGTCTTCCCTCTCCAATCCCGTTAGCGGGGGCATGTTCACAGGCAAATTAGTAGCAACGCTCGCAGAACGCGAAGACGCTGAGGAGAGCAACCGGCTAATGTCCAAGATAAAATCGTCCAAATTCAAGTCCGACACTCCCACCGACAGCAACGGCAAACGAGCTTTCTGGTCGTGGGGACGCTCAAGGACTGCGAAACCAAAGAGCAAAAACAATAAGATCATGATCGAGCAGTTCGATCTGGAGAAGTACGGACGGTACGGGTCAAGTTCTTCCAGGGAAGGACAGAAGCTGCCCGGCCCGACGAGGGGTATCCTCCGGCTTTTGTTCTTTGGGTTGAATATGATTGTAAAGATGCTTACGGTATTGGCGAAGATTGTGGCTTGGTTGTTAGTGAGTGTTACTCGGTGCGTGACGAGTGAGAAGTTTTAGTCTATGCGATGATTGATGCTGTTGATACCCTAGTACACTTGTTTTGTCCGCACATATCGGATTCATTATGCGCATGTTTTCAAGCTTCTACAGAATAATTTTTAACTATGTTGATGTAAATGGAACGCCACCTACTTCATTCTCAACGGGTATCTACGTATGGAGTAATTGCGATATGCATAGCAGATGGTGGTCTACATACCATGCTCTGTGACGCATCCCAGTTTCAACACCTGCCACAGCGAGATATCAAGACCATACCATTGCCACAAGTGTACATGTACACGTACATCCTATCCATACAAGTTGTAGGCCAGTACGCGGCAGATGCAGAGGCAGACATTCCACTCCACCCAGGAATGCAAATCGTCAGCCCGTGCAACAGAAGAGACAACGCGTCCCTTCCATTCCACTGCGCTAGATATGTATCAGATACGTATCATGGGAATGGATAACTATGTTAGAAAATCCTCCGTCGGAATAGGGTTACCAAGGGATGCGTTTCGTGTCTGCCATAACCTTGTATATCCGTGACGACAGGTATATTAAGGCTTTAATGCTCAACCCTTTACCAACCAGGTTGCTATATCACTTTCACGTCTTAATTCAATTGCATAGGGCAAATAACAAGATACTGAGCTACGATGGTTCACACCACACCCACTGCCCTCCTGGCCATAACCGGCCTAGCTGCCACAGCTACAGCCTACAAGCATACATGGTGGGACCACATGAAGTGCGCAGTAAGCATCTCTCGCCTTCAGTTCCAGTTCCCAGAAATAAGTCAGCTTGCTAACATTCATCCCCTCAGGCTGCTGTAGCCCAGGACGCAGATAACCATACCTGCACCTCGCCCTCCAAATTCGACTGCTTCTGCGCGCAGCCGTTTGATCCAGCCAGAATAAGCAGTGCAGCAAGGAAGGTGTGCGAGGGCTTTGGAATCCGTATGTTCATTTTCTTTCCTTTCCTTGCCTCAGTCTACGACGAGAACTGACGCAATGAAGCAACCGAGTCTATACACGATTTCATCTGCAGCAACGACGGTCGCGGTAGCGATTATGACGATGTGTACGACCACGACCACTACCACAACTGCCACCATGCCTTCGTCTACGACGCCGACGACAAAGATAGGGACAGATATGGATATCCCATTTCCCATCCGCACCGCCTCAGCCAGCCCATGATGCGCGTCCCTGCTCCGGGGACCGATTCCTCAGATACAGCTAAACACAGCCCCAACGTCCAGAGCAAGAGGACTTACGCTCCAGGCCTGTCCCCTTCCGCCTCCTCCTCGGCCTCTGCTCGCCGCCCCTTCGTCACCGACGCCCCGTCCGCCCTTGACGAAGAGAGCGACTACAAGAACGAGCTCGGGAGCAGGGTCATCACGGAGATCCTCACGCACACATCGTGCGACTGTTCGTCGTCGACGGTAGCGGCTGCAACGGGATGGGCGTCGAGTCGACCAGCGTACCTTCATCAGAGCGCGGTTCCTATGTCAACTTCTTCGTCAGCGCACGCGTACCTTTACCAGACCGCGGTTCCCGTTTCTTCGTCATCAGCGCACGCGCATGTTCACCAGACGGCGATTCCTGTTTCGTCTTCGTCGGCGCCGGCGCATGTTCAACAGACCATGGTCCCCGTTTCTTCGTCCTTGATGCAAGCGCACGTACACCAGACTGTGGTTCCCGTGTCATCTTCGTCGTCCTCGCACGCGCATATTCCCCAGACTGTGGTTCCTATTCCATATTCGTCGTCGGCACGCACACACCTTCATCAGACGGTGGTCCCTGTTTCGTCTTCGCCGTCAGCGCACTCGCACCTTCATCAGACCGTGGTTCCTGTTTCTTTGTCGTCAACGTACGCGCACCTTCACAAGACTGTAGTTCCTGTGTCATCATCAGCGTCGTCGTCCCACGAGCATCTTCACCAGACTGTGGTCCCCATTCCATCTTCGTCATTGGCGCATGCGCATGTTCACCAGACCATGCTTCCTATTTCATCGTCGTCATCAGCGCACGCGCATGTCCACCAGACTGTGGTTCCTGTTCCATCTTCGTCATCGGCACATGCGCATCTTCACCAGAGCGCAGTTCCTATGTCATATCCGTCGTCCTCGCACGCGCATGTTCACCAGAACGCTATTCCCGTTCCTTCGTCGTCGGGATTAGCATCTAGTACACTGGCTAGATCGCATTCCTATGCACATGCGCACGGACCCGCGTCTTTGTATGTGTCCGTGCCTGTCTCGGTGCCTGAGCCTACAGGCGTTGACGCGCAGCAAAGTGGGTATCCCAGTCGTCACAAGACAATGGCTTCGTCTCTTATGGTGCCTTCGGCTTCGGCGTCGCCCTCGCCCTCGCAGTCGGCAATGACGTTTGATGGGGGTGCGTCTGTGGGGGTGTTTGTGCCGAGTTCGGTGGTTGTGCTTGGGTCCACGTATCCTTTGCCGCGGGGATATATGCCTTCCCGTACAGGGCGATATGGCAGAAAGCGTAGCGGTTGAACAGCGTGACAAGCCAGTCGAGGACGGCGATGAAGCATCCGAGAATCCAAAACATGATGCTCCCCACCATACTTCCCCCCGCAGCCTCGTTCCGCTGCGCGACAGAGCACGCCTGCCGCAGCATGTTGATGATCGCGATGATCAGACTTCCGAAGCTGATGCTGCCGAACGAGTATGTGGTTGCGCGCCTGAATGCGCCCCGCGTTGCCCCCTTTGGCATGCCATTCGGCGTCTGGCTCCAGAAGTACCAGGACCCGTAGACACCCGCAATGGTGGTATGGATCGTATTCTTCAACCATTCGCTGAACCAATACATGGCAAACGTGACGTACACGACCAACCCGATGACTCGGCCCCTGCTACATCCGCCGTCGCGGCAGGAGGGGTTAGAGCCGGAGCTGCTCGGCTCATATGCCACATAGATCGAGACCAGGGTGACCGAAAACCAGGCAGCGAATGCCACTGCCACGAGACCACCAATCGTGCTCACGATAAACACATGGCCGTACTTCCGAGACACGTCAATGGAAGTCTGGAGCATGAACGCGCTGAACGGGATACGCGGGATCCAGCTGATGAAGCAGACGATCGCAAAGACACCAAAGATGAGAAACACGATGCCTCCGCCGTACTGTTTCCGCACGATATAGTAAATGCCAGTCGCCAGCGCAAACACGATATTAAGGATCCCAGTAACCCAGATGAACAGTTTCGAGAAGTAGCGCGCCCCTAGAAAGTACGCGTACGAAAAAGCGAGCGCCACACAGAGTACGAAAATGAACAGAACAAGCGTATTCGTGTCGAGAGAAAAGCTGTTGGACGAGTCGTAAATGCCGTCACCGTTGAAGCCTTTGTATTTGGCGTATCGATGGATGGTCACGCCAGAGACCGCGACATACCCCAGGAAGACGGCGATAAACTAGACGCGAGTCAATCAAATGCCTCATCGAGTGAGTTTGCAGCCACTTACGAGGAGACCCGCCCAGATATCGTTGTACTTGGGTCGCTCGATCTTGAACGCGTCGTCAAACCCATAGACGGCCTGATTGTACGTTGGGGGTGGCTCCGCTGGAGGCTTGGGCTCAGGTCCGGGTTGATAGTTCGGGTCGTACCCATTATTGTGCACATTATTGTTGTAGTGATAGGGCTGTTGCTGGTAATTTTGAATCCCCGGCTGGGGATCGCCATACGGCTGGCTGGGATTGTAGTAACTCGCAGCCTGTCCACTCATGATGGCATACCTTGGAAGGAGGAACGAGTGGTGACTGAGGGGAGAGACGCAGAAAATATGGGAAAGACGGTCAATTCATGTCGCACAGTCACATGTAGCCAAGCCAAGTATGGAGGCAGCAAGGGACGATGGATCCATGATGGGTTGACTCCTGAGAGTCGTTCCGCATGCGGTCATCGTAGAACTCAGTTGCTCAACGCCTCTGGTGGATTTTCTGATGGATTCTCTGTTTCAGTGCACGTCAGTGTGATGATGTCGACAGGGATGAGCAGAAGAAGCCAAGAAGCCAAGACGCGACATTTCCAGGATTCTCAGCCCTACAACTCAGGCCCACCATTCACCAGCCTATCATTGTCATGCCCATGGTGCAGTGATTTATTTCTGCCTATGGAAGATAAAAGTAAAGATGTGAATTGTTAACCAGAATCTGTGCTAGCATTCCTACTAGCTAGAGATGTTTGTCTAGACACCTTTTGGCTGAGAAGTTATCAAGTAAAGCTACCTATCCATAAGGGATCCCAGCCCTAAAACTCCAGGGATTCCAGGCCCAAACCCTCACAGCTGTGCTTCTACCCATAATAACCCAGAAGCGGTATAACCTACTGATTAGACCTCATCATAGTCCTAGGTGCAATAGACCCCAATCAGAATTAAAATAGCAATATTCAATCCCTTCAGTGTCAGTGATAATCTGGCCCGTCAGCGACTCAGCCAGCAGCCCTAAAGGACCTCGTTTCCCGCCGACGGCCGACGCTTTATGCCCCGAACAAAAAGCAATGGGCCCCGTGTCGGACCACGACTACAAATATGCAGAAGATGCGATGGAACTCGGTAGATTTGTCAAGTAAGCCAAAGAGATGGATTCCGCACAATCTACCAAATTGGACTTTTTGGCTGTGCCGGCCACCCCGTTTAGTATTGGGGTTTTGGCCTCGGTACTGGTGTTGGTGGCTGTTTTGATCGGACCAAAGGTGGTGGTTGATACGGTTCTTAATGTGAGTTTTACTATCTTCCTTTTTTCTTCAGAAGTGGTTCTGATACCTGACATAGGGCTATTTGTCTCTTGTTTATCGGATTCCGGCCACAAATGGGAAGAAGTACATGTCGGGGCCGGCGTACACATTCCCAAATGGGCAGATGGTAGATAAGTTCTTGGCTGCGCGGACAAAGAGCTCGGAGTGGGAGGAGAAATATGGCAAGACGTATCGCATTTGGGCTGCTAGTATCCCCGAGGTGTACGCATACCCTCTCTTCGTTCAATATGACCGCAGATATGCTAACACGGGTTTGTATACGCAGTGTGATAACGGACCCGAAAGATGTCGAGGCGCTATACCAGCAGTCTACCGACCATAACAAGGCGCCCCAGGCGAATGCCGGCTGGCTCTTGACGCAGCTGCTTGGGTCGGGCCTGGGGCTGATTAACGGGACTCGCTGGACGGTATTACGGAAGACCTTGGACCCGATGTTCTCGCACCGGACTGCCTTGCGGTATTTCCGTGATAGCCTCGACGCTGGTGCTGAGGAATACGTCGCGGGGATACACCGGTTTGCAAAAGCCGACGGGCAGAACGCAGACGGCAAGGGGATAATCATCAATGCCACACAGGCACTGCAGCGATATCCGTTTTTCGAGGTCGCGTCCATGTTCTATGGGAAGATGAGTGAGGAAGAGCAGGAGCGGCTGTGGGATCTGGGGCGTCGGTATTCGGAGGTTTTCGCGGCGGTCGTGTCTGGAGGCATTCATCGCTCTAAGCTGACCAGGTATCTCAATACCAAGGCTTGGAACAATGCGAGAGACTACCAGAAGGCGTGGCGGGATTTCAATAGCGAGATATATCGGGCGAGGAAGATCACAGCCCCAGATACGCCCATTGTGGTCCTCACAGAGGCAGCTGAAAGGGGCGAACTGACACCAAATGAGGTAGGTGTTGGCCCCATGAAACGATATGGAGATTCCTTTTGACAATATATCTAGGTGACTGACACTATTGCGGAATCCACCTTCGCTAACCTGGACATCGTCACCCATGTTATCTCGTCATGCATTATTCTTCTAGCCGATGCCCCCGAGGTCCAGGATGACCTTCTCCAGGAGATGGAGAAAAACAAGGCAGATCGAGAAGAGTATATCACTCGAAAGGACACCCTTCTCCATTACTGCCTGTTGGAATCGCTGCGTCTTCGGCCCGTTCTATGTAAGTCTCGGTCACTACTAGACCACCAAGCTGGAATATCGGTTGACCCAGTCAAAGCATTCACGTTCCCTGAGAATCCACCAAGGGAGAAGATCCTGGGAGACTTCGTGATACCTAAAGATACGACCGTTATTGTGGATGCTTTCGCCATCAACATATGTAATCCTTTCTGGGGCCCTGACAACCGTGCATACCGGCCGGGCCGGTTTGCGGGTATCAAACAGAATCAGGTGAGAATCTCGAGCTGCCCTAAGGAGACTACTAGAAAGCTCATTGGTTTTACAGCTGCGGTATAATCTCGCGACTTTTGGCTACGGACCGAGAAAGTGTCTCGGGCAGCATATTGCCGATAAAATCATCAAGGCTGTTGTCTATCACATGTTCAGCAGGTATAGGGTTTCCCTGCAGCCGATGCAAGCTGTCGAAGGAGACTTCAAAGTTGACAAAACCAGCTGGGTCGCATTGTATGATGTTGATTTGAAACTGGAGCTAAGGGACTCTTGTGTTGACAAGACTGAGTCTTGAAACGACGTCTTTGTGATGTATGAAAAGTGAACATATACCTGCAATAGATATGAGCACTCGATAGCTGCAAGGACTCTCTTGAAAAAAAAAAAAAAATGGATGGAATAGATACGGAGGACAGTCCTTACAGCACCGGTCGAAACCTCATTCCACCCACAAAATTCCTCTAACATTGATTGGAAACCAGTGGAGAGGAAGCTTTGTAAGGGGAGCAATCTAGTCCGGATGGGCAGGATGCCTCAGGTTGCTATCACTGTCAAGTATATAAGGGATGATGCTATGTTGAGAGCATGCGATAAATGAGGTTCTTCAGCCACAAAAAGAATGCTTGCTAAATAAGATGCAGTCATCACTGCTGAAGAAGAGTCTAGGCAGCCCTTATCCTGGAGATATGTGTATAAACTTATGAGGTGTTCTGTGAAGTCATGCAGTGACTTTGATAAGTGGTGCTGGCAGGATCCGAAGGGTAGGAAACATTATGGACCATGAAAACCCCACCTTGTGAAACTTACTGCCTATGTGGATGCAGGGGGCAAATTAGACAGCTATAATAATATCCTAGAAGATATCTGAGAAGCTCTCTACATGGAGGCCCAGCAGAAGCTTGACAGGGGCTTAAATAAAATGAATAACATGATTGCCCTGGGGGCTCCTTATCCAATTAACATTAATCTCTTGGCTCCGCAGGGCACACGTGAGCCTGCTATACCTATATTACCACCAGGCCTGTGTCCTTGAGAAAGAGGATCAAAATTTCTGGCCCCTGAGATGGTGCTGTCAAGGCATACTGTAAGTGGCATGAACTGCAGGTGACTGATGAAAAGCACAAAGCTGATTGGTGTAAGGCATGTGATATAACTCTGTCTAATGGCCTTGACCTTGAATTAGTGGAAGAAGATCAAGAGCATGTGCAGTTTCTCATTGAACATGGGGTGACAAAGGGGACTGCTCCGACATCCAGGAATGGGCTGAGCGTATGAGAGGGCATCTATCGCCAGAGGCACGTGTTCAGGATCCTTTCGATGATATGGATGATTGCTAGGATAAGGTCTAATTAGTCAAGTTGTTAGCTAGCTCTATTAGGGTTTTGCCTCGAAAGGCACGTTTCGGGCTACAACTCTTCATCCTCACCTGTCCTCATTGAGCATTGATATGCCAGGGACTTGAGTAAGGTAGTTAACTAACTATTCCCTATCCGTAGATGACTAATCACTTGAGGTCCGCCATTCGTACAGTTCAATTGGCTAGTTCAGCATTACTAACAATGTCGCATAAATAATAGTGCACGTGTTCCATAAAGACGGGGATATGAAAAGTCACGTGGACCCAATCTAGGAATCAAGGGGTAAGTGAACGCAGGGCATATATCATCCGCAACTTCGCGGGTAGAGCCTATTCACCACGTCTGACACCCTCGTACCCCGATAGCCGATCCAGATGCCGTCTGCTTCTATCCAGGAACCTAAGCCTTCGATCGATTTCAAGTCATATATTGAAGACGAGGACTTTCTCGTCGAAGGGAACGCAGAGCCCAGCAGCCGTTCCCAAGTCTTAATCTTTCGTTTGGAAAACCTCAGCTGGTGGGTCAAGGTAACCCTTAGAGGCGAGGTCCTCCGTATTACGGACGAGCAGACCGGAAAGAGAAAAACCTCAAAACGACAGAGACGCAAAGAGTACCAGGACTTCATCAGGCTCATAGATTTCGGATCTCTTCCGCTCTTCGATGACACAGTCAGTGAAGTGATATTAGAAGAGTCAAACGATCGATCTGACCCGATCGTGAAAATACATGGAACAGCGGAGTTCGCTATTAGTCCATTTGTAAACGTCTCTAGGAAACTGAAATACACTGTCCGAGAAGATCCTTCGAGAGTCATCTATCCTTTATGCGATGAATTTCCTTCTCTACGCAAGTTCAAAATTACCGAGTTATTCAAAAAGACGGAGATCACGGACGGCGTTTTCCACGTCATCGATTCAAATGATGAGACGCCATACATTCTCAAGGCTGTTAATCGGCCTCTATATCAGCCTCATGATACGGAAGTTATTCGAACCGAATTAAAAAATCTGGAATACTTTCGAGGAGAACCGAACATTGTTCAGCCGGCTGGTGTCGCAGTGATCACGAATCCTTATGCGACATCAAATGCAACAGAGCAACCTTTGGTTATATTTGGCATTCTACTGGTATTCTACCCTGGTGGTTCTTTACAAAACTTATTCAATGAGAATCGCGTGAGGGAACATCCATGGGGACGTTGGACTACGCAAATCGCTACTGCAATAAACTGCTTGCACGAGGCAGGGAAAACTCACATGGATATCAAACCATCGAACGTCGTTATTGACGGGAACGGAAACGCAGTGCTTATTGATATCAGCGGTGTTGGCGGAATTACACATGAATGGCGCGCCCCAGAGATTCGCGACGATATATCACCTGGTAGTCTCTCGTTTGAGGTGCGCCAGCTGAATGACACATGGGCATACGGAAAGCTTTTGTCGGAAATAATATCGCATGGAGGGGCCAGCCCCTTTTCGGAAACATTGGATCGCGTTGTTGCTTGTCTTACGAGGGAAGACACACTGGCACGCATGACTCTTCCAGAAGCTATCTCCCGCCTAAAGGCGTCTGGTATTGAGAGAACGTGCAGTGTGTACAGCAAGTATATATACAATTATGGCAACGGTGGAACCTGATATCTCGAGCTGTTGCCATAACTGATTCTCATGATCGGCTCAATAGTCATCCCAGTCGATATCGTCTTCTTCAAATCCACCATCCGTTCTTAGGCCTATGTTCGTGAGCAGGAAGCCAGTAATTAAGATATACGGCCGGTATCACGTACCGGGACCCTCCCTCTTGAGCTGCGGTTTCTGGTCGCATCCACGCATGCCACAGTTCGGAGTGCCGCTTGTGGAAGCGTCTTCGGTAGTTCCACTCTCGCATACTTTCTTTTTGCTTTTCGCATCTTTGCATGGCCTTTTGAGTGTTTTGTGGTAGTGACCACAATTATGCACCCTAACTCTGAAGCTGCACATTGCAATAGGCAAGAATTCAATAGTATTCCAGGAGAGTCACAAATTTCCATCATTATCAGGTCTGGTGGATGAGCCATCAGCTAAGTACACGTACTGCGCAACCTGCCCCGCTCATTTCCCCTCACCCCAGTGGTAAATATGCAGGCTTATCACACCCCGCAGTGTTGTAGAAGCTGTGTAATAACACAAGAGAGGAGTATACTATCTTGGGCATAAGCGGGTAATATTTGATAGTATCAGCCCTAATGGAACTTGGCTACTTGAATGGGTGACCAACCCGTCCTCCTAAACCCTATCTGTTTCCATACAATACGAAACGAGAATGTCCCTAGTCAATTTGGTGTTCAATGTGTATTATTTACGAGTTCGAAATATATTTAGGTGACCATGTAACCAAATAGAGACTCATGCATGAAATGGCGCCTCGGGCGTTAGGGTTTAAGTAATAAGGTCGCCTCTGGGGGGCGGAAAGAGGTTTCGACCGATGCTGTACCACCACAACAATAGCCAGCTTCTACTGCCAAATCCCGTGTAGCCAGCCTTTCTCTTTTACGAAATATTCCGACGAGATCGCGGCTTATTAGAAATACGGCTCCCGGAGCGTGTGTTGGGGCCGTCGGCGGGTAAACAGCGTAAGCACAGGCACCGCGCCGAAGCCGAGTAAGCCGAAGCTAGAATAGCGTTTATTTAGCAGATGGCGAATACAGATTAGAATGGGCGTACATCTCCCAACTGTAGATTTTGGACAAGCGTAACAATGGCGAGTGAGCTCAAATCAGACCTAGCGAAGTGCCTTTCAGGCTCAAATGTGATTGTTGACGGCGACGAGGCGTGGCCAGATGCGATCAAGCGTTGGACAGGGTATCAAGCCAAGGTCCCAGCAGCAGTAGTTCAAGTTATTAGCGAGGAAGACGTCATTGCAACGGTAAGGGTCCTCCATCCCCTTCTGAATCTGTTTAGACTGACGTGCGTTTTCAGGTTTCCTATGCGGTGCAGAACCAAAGGCCTTTTGTGGTTCGAGGAGGAGGCCACAGCAATGGCTTCTCGACAATCGACAGTCCCGGAATTGTCATCGATCTCTCGCGGATGAGAAAGGTCACCGTTGACGTGGAGAGACAGGTTGTTGTTGCACAAGGAGGCGCAACTATGGGCGATGGGGTGAAGGCAGCTAGTTCAGTAGGAATGGCTGTCGCTACCGGAACATGTAACGAAGTGGGCCTGGTAAGGAAAATGGCATCTCCCATTCAGTCAAGCAACCTAATAATAAGAAATAGATCGGTGCTGCCCTTGGAGGAGGCATAGGGCGCTTTATTGGGCACTTTGGCTACGCAGCAGACACCGTGCTCTCGATGCGGGTCGTTGTGGTGGACAACAACAGAGTAGCTCGCGCAGTTGAGGCATCGCCCGAAGCCAACTCCGATCTCTTCTGGGGTCTTCGTGGTAGCGGTCATTTGTTCGGAGTAGTGGTTGAGGCTACATTCCGAGCCTACCCATGGACCCATGACACATGGCACAGTTGTCTGGTCTTTGCGCCCAACGATGCAGGATTGGTTGTAGAGGCAATGAACAGTATCCATTATCAGGGAGGTATGCAGGGCCGGCTGGTATTCTGCGCCCCAAACAAGCAGGTAAGTCTGTCAAGAAGTTTTACTGAATCCACTGGCTGACTTTGAGAATTAGCCTATTGTTCTTCTCCAAATGTGGTATATGGGACCACCGGAAGAGGCCGCCAGCAAATTCCAGCCTCTACTGGATCTTCCGTCTATGACAGATCATCCTTTGAACTTTGTTGGCCGCCTAATTCCGTACCCTAACCTCAATGACTCCAGCGACCGTATATGCGGCTATGGGGGGAGAAAGAACCTGGCAGCGTTTGGCTTGAAAAGCTTGTCAGCGGAATCCTGCGTGGCCGCCCTCAACGTCTACATGGGCTTCATTACTCAACACCCCGAGGCGGCCCAGACTCACATCCTGACCGAATTTTACAGCATGGACGTTGTGCGGGAGCTAGACCAGGACGGACAAGAGACGTCTATTCCTAGCGAGTTCCGGCGAGAAGTGGAGTATTGGGTCATGCCTCTGGCTTGGTACGAGGACCCTGCACTGGATAACGCATGTGCTGGGCTTAACCGGGCCATTCGAGAGGCATTCTTAACACAGCCAGACGGAACACGCGCAACGGGAGTGGGCTATGTCAACATGACCTTTGAAGACGATACCACCACCACTGTTTTTGGCGAGGGTGAGCGGCTCGAGAGGCTCCGGAATCTCAAGCTAAAATGGGACCCGCTTGGCGTGGTGCAAGGAATTGTAAAACTTTGAGATCAATCTGTGTTGTTGGAAGTTGATATGTAGGTTACTAGGTAGACAGTGAATCGGGGATAGTGGCATGACGCTGGTGCCTCAGGCCCAGTGGGCGATACTAGTATTCTTTCCTGCCTAAGGCATAAATCGATAATGGGTCACAAAAAGCATATCAAGTGGGTCACCCTGCTACGACTGTGAAATCAAATGTAAAGGAACATAACTTCGCAAAGTACTTAGGATCAATTATTTTCGAGCATTTTGGTTTATAATATGAGACACTCTGTGAATCGCGTCCTGCAGAGGCAGACATCCTTAGTAAGCTGGGACCTACTAGCCCCAAGCGGTTAGACTTTCTGCCTCCAACCGTATTGCTTCGGTATAGTTTACCTCGTCACCTTGCTTGTCACCTTGTCACCTCCGTTGTCACCTTCCTGGAACACCTCCATCATTCCAAGGCTGTCACCCCATCTGATGGACTCAACAACTTCAATCTCACGGCTCTCTGTTAGCAGTCCTCAGTCGGGCCCTTCTGGTGGCATACAAAAAGGCCGGCAGCGCACAATCACCGCGTGCCTGACATGCCGCCGTCGGAAGGTGAGGTGCGATCATACGCAACCTGTCTGTACTCCATGCCAGAGAGGCAATCGTGTTTGTACGTATGTCAGTCCACAGCCAGTTTCGCAGGCACCCTCCCGTGTGGTCACTGGCAATCGAGTGTCGCGGACCAACCTTCGGTCTGGCCAAGAGGAGATCCGTAGTCGCCTCGAACGGCTGGAACAACTACTGGAGCGAGCAATATCCAGTGGCGGTAACATCTCATCGAAATCGCCTGATGCGAAAGTGCCTAGCACAGAAAACCCCTCTGACGTTGACCAGGGAGGAAGTGCATTGCCAAACCCGAGATGCGAAACTTTGTCGGCTGACGGTTATGATGGTGCCTTACTCCTGGAGGCCGAAGGAGGCCAATCTCGCTGGGTTTCGTCTCTGCACTATGCTCTCTTAGCTGACGAGGTACAACCTTTCTGCCGATGTGATTTCATATATCCAGCGCTGATAATTCTAGATCCACGATGTCAAAATGCTGCTGGGAGATCAAGCTAGTGGTGCGCCGGCGGAAAGTCCACCGTCAGACCAGCCAACCCCTCCATTTCCGTTTTCTGGCTCGACCGTGGATAGCCTTATGCCTTGGTCCCCCAGGTCGGCAGAGGATTGCCTGGCATTGCTTGAAATATTCTATTCCAATGTGGATCCGATGACGAGACTAGTCCACAAACCTACGCTGCAACGACGATTCACCCAATATATTAATCATACCTACGGCACGAGGACTCAAAGTCCGGTTGTAGAGGAGGCCGATGCACCAAGACCTGACCACACCATCCATACCTTCGAGCCTTTGGCGCTGGCTATATTCTACTCAGCTATCAACAGTTTGTCGGCTGAAAATGTTATGATGCAATTTTCTGTGGAGAAAGAGGCCCTCCTGGCTCAGTTCCAAAGAGGTGTGGAACTAGGTTTAGGGCGAGAAGATTTCCTAACAACCCCAAGTATCGAGGTTCTACAGGCATTTGTACTACTTCTGGTAAGGAGGCGCCCCTGTTTCCAACTGTTTAATGTATGTTTAATATACTGACCAACCCGCTAGACTTGCCAATCCCGGGAAGACGACATGTCAAGGACGTGGACTCTTCTTGGCCTTGTTGTCAGAATGGCTCTCTCGCAAGGCCTTCATAGAGAACCCTCCTTATTCCCCTCAAGTAATATGGATGTTGTCCAGGTCGAGACTCGTCGCAGGCTGTGGCATCAGATATGTCATCTCGACTTCCGTTCCGCAGAAGGTAGGGGTCAGGAACCCACAATAGCAGACGAGGACTACACTACGCTACTACCACGGAACATCAACGATGAAGATCTCATTGAAGGAGCGCATCCCACTGCGGAAACATACTCACCTCCTGGGTTTACCGACATGACAGGTCATTTGATTCGCCTGAATGGCATCCATTGCTTCAGAAGAATTGTTCGGAGCACCTATAGGCTGGAGCGGAGAATCAAGGCTTCGGTCGTCAACGGAAATGGTAACCTATATCCAATCGCAGAGCTCCAGTCTTTGTTTGTGGAGGTTCGAGCCATGGTGGATGAAATGGTCAATCATCTCCAAACTCAATACCTGCAATACTGCGACCCCCAGATTCCCCACCAGCGCATGGCCCTTGGCCTTGCTGCGGTAATTGAATGGCGATGCTGGTCTATTTTCTGGCTGCGAACCCCAAAACAATACCGGGAGGCCGTAGTGTCCCCTGAAATCCGACAAACGTACGTTTGGTGCCGTCCTTGAAGCAGATTACACCTTTTCGTGTCTGGATCCCAAAGCTAATGAATGTGTTTAGAGTATTGGCAAAGTCAGTCAGCCTCGTAGAGAGCTTGAACATGATGTCGGATGACAAAGATGCCCAGAAGTTCCAGTGGCATATAGGTGGTCACGCCTGTTTCCAATCCATTATGCACATCGTATCGGAGCTTGAGACACCTGAATTCCAAGCGCCAAACCACCGTTCGCTCCGGTCTCGCGCATTGGGCGTCTTGAAAAGGACGATGGATACGAGAGGGCGTGAAGTCACACCAATGTGGAATGTGATCAATCGTATCATCTCGAATTGTCTTGCCAAAAATGCGCCGGCTACCTTCCCCTTAACGCCATTCCAGGCTATATTTCCTCCGAGTGCAGCGATCCCTGGAATAGGCTCCTCAACTACTGCCCCGCCTCAGACAGTTGCACAAAGTTCATCAGTATCGGGAGAATCCGCAATCGCAACCCCGTTGCCTGATCTGGCGGAGGTAGGAAGTCTGGACATGCAGGACCCCACCTTAGCGTTTGACTGGGTAAGGGAATCCAATGCCTTGATGAGACGCTCTCCACTAACGGTATTGACTAGGGATTTTGGAATTTTGACCCCACAGATCCTGGCTCCTATTGAGAATTACATTTTCGTGAGCTATGCACTATTTTCTAGCTGTCTACCTCATGCTCCGTGGAAGGTTGGCACTTTGTCACAAAGGCTTATGCGCTGGCTTCTAGTATCTCAAATCTAGGTAGTATGTGGAAGAAATGACTCGTATGATGACATGATACCACTTGATAACAAATTGAAACAACCGAGCTCTTGCTCAAACAACGGAGTATGTCGATAACTTTCTCGAATGAACTAGATCAGTGCTTAGGTGCTGTATACCCGGAGATTATAATACATGGTCATATAGACCCCTTTCTGCTTCTTATACGAAAATGAAAGATAGGTATGTGTGCCCGTTGACGAGGACAGTGGATGATGGGGACTATAAAGGTCAGCGCTGACACAGGTCCATGTCGAAGAAACTGGGCGACTTACAACAAATCTTCAACTTGCTTGCAATAATCTCTCTCCAGGTTGTGCCATCCGAGCTTTCCAAAGAACACTTGCAGCCGACTAGCAATCTGCACATCACTTTCACAGTAGTGTCGGACAGGCAGGTACACCTTGGGCTCGGGGAACCATTTCCCTGGCCGCAGCTCGAAATTGAATATTGTCCCCGCCGTGCGATCACTATTCTGTGGCAACTCCGCGTCCTCGTCGACGACCCCAAAGACCGTCCTCCACAGCTCGTCCAGCAGCTTCAGGCCCTCAGCTGTATTCTCGTCTGTCAAACGCCCACCTAGGCAGTATGCCTCTTTCACCTTCCGCAAAGACGTATGCGGCATCCGCACGTATATCTTGATCCGGGAGTCTGCCTCGTTCACGCAGTCGACGCTGATCATCTCCGCCTTTGCCGCACCACCGTAGCTACCCATCCACGCCTCCATGACCGACAACGCAGCGATGGTTTGCACACCCCATACCTCGCTCTTCATCGCTAGACGCAGAATGGAGTCAGAGACCACCTTTATTGTGCTCTGTCCGGTCTTCAGCGACTTGAGAATCGGAAAGAAGTACGCCTTTGTGGTGACACGACCCGCGTCGAGATCGAACGCCAGGAAGCTCTGTGTGGTATGCTCGCCTTCTGGTATCTTCCCTCTTAACGCGGCGTAAGACTCCGGGCTAATGAAAAGGTCGTGGCGGAAGTGCTCGAACAGCGTCAGCGTGGCGCCTACTTCGGTTGCATCGTATGAGTGCATGAACTGCGTCACGGCAGCTTGGTTGAATGGGTCCGTGGCGGTCCCGGCTTCAAAACCCACGGGCTCAATACCAAGACGGATTGTGCTCTGCGCTTCCGAGTTCCCATTCACGTTCCAGCTCGGCTCCAGCGGGGAGAAGTCGTCCGTCAGGAAGGACCTCCAGTGCGCGTTACTCGGAGAGGGCTGCGTCGAGTTCTCAAGCGGCGGTTGAGGTCCCAACAATGGAAGAATATGGGTGTGATATAACATAAGGTACTTGTAATGAGTATAAAGAGGGTAATTTGCCTTGGCCAGAAGCTTGCTCATAACAGGCCCTGTCTCTCGCCACCAGAACCCCGTGGCCGAAGCCGGAGCCGGCAGCGGAAGCGCAGCCGTCAGAACATCGTAAGGAGTGAGTCGTGCAAGAGAAAGTCTATCGTGCGCATCAAAGTCTCCGTTGGTTAACTCCTTCTGCGTCTTGCTTGGATAGCCATTAGCGATGCCGTTGAGGCTCGGCGGAGCAGGAACTAGCGATTCGGTCCCGATCGACATGTTGAATGATGTGTAACGCGGACTAGATACTTTGCAGTATGTTTTTTTGCTGCTGCCTTGACTCGGTCTCTCCTCCCCTTCGGCTTGAGCTCGTGCGAGGCCTATCTATATACGGTCCGAAAGCGTGGTGATCCCCCCATCAGAGCCACGTGTTCTGCGCCTCTCGCCAACTGCCCGAAGACACGTTCAGCTGCTCCTGCATTGCATGGCCCCCTCCTGACCCCGAGTCAGTAATACGGACCCTCCGTTCCCACGGCACTCCGTTGTTTCGGGTGTCTACTTTGCCGGCGTCCGATTTGCCCTATACTTCCTCCGGGAAGTGGCTCAGCCACTCAGCTAACGGGGCATTTTTCCGCTGCTTTTGCGGCGTCCGATTTGCGATATGCTCCCCCCGGGGCGAGTGGCTCAGCTCTGACTTGGCATTTTCTGTTCTATTTTGGGGCTCCAATGCCAAGATGAATGGGGGCTTTGCGTTGAGCAAAGGGACCTTGGAATCTTGGAAGTTGCTTAGTTCATACGTGCTTGGAACTTGGTATGGCGTCGGTATGCCTTGCTGTCGACAACGTGTGATGGACTTACTATGACTGTGCTACGGATAGAAGCAAAGTAATCACCAGTGACATAAACAATGCATTCGGATTCGTTTTAACAATCTACCTATGACATCAAATCATCACAGCGCACGTTGCCAGCTCCAAAAGGCTCCTAGAAACAAAGATATCCCGTAATCTGACCCTGACCCCCCGCTTCTCGCATAGGTGTTGTAGTTTCACGGCATCCAGACTCTGGCCCCCAAGGTCCCAAAATGACTTGTCGGTGTCCACCGCCCGAGCCTCAAGCCCAAGACATTCACAAACTGCATCCGCAAGGAGGTTCTCGAGCCCTTGTCGCCCCGCAGTAGTATCCATCTTGTTATTCCCATTGGTCAACCGGGAATGCAATCCAGTCTCCACACAAAGCCCTCCGAGACCGTCCTTACCAGGGCGAAACGACCTCTGGACCAACTGGATGATATCCCCAGTCTCCATCTCCAGAACCATAAGCTGTAATGCGAAGGAAAGCGCGAATTCCAGCCTCAGCGCAATATCCTCCCTGATACACCCAAGATCATACTCCATGTCAACCTGGAGATCCTGGGCTGCCGTCTCGGTGAACTCAACTGTCAAGGGGAACTTGGAGCCGCCTGTATGGCGCCACGGGATGGGCTGGACTTCTGCGCCGGGGAGGTCTAGGAGGGGGCGCTGGTCAGCGGCTGTGTGGTAGGTTGCCATGACTTTGAAGAGGGGGTCGATGAGGCTTGGTTTGTGGGAGAGGGAGGAGCGGAGGGCGTGGAAGGGGATGATGTGTGCGAGGGCTTGTTGGCTAGTTTCGCGGACTGAGGAGAGGAATTCGAAGAGGGAGGATTGGTGCGGGGAGCGTTGGATGCGGAGGAGGAGGCGGTCGAGGAAGAGGCCTGGGAGGGACTCGGTGCCGGGCTCGGTGCGGTGCGTGAAGGGGGCTGCGAGGAGGATGTCGTCGCGGCGGTCGACGCACTGTAGGCTGAAGAAGACGGCGGCTAGGATGAGCTGGTGCATTGTTACTGATGCTTTGGTTGCGAGGTTGGCCAGGTTGCGGTGCATTGAGGAGGGGAGTGTCCAGGAGCGGGTGAGCCCGATGTATGTTGCTGCTGCTGGGGAAGGGTTGCCGAAGGTAAGTGGCGAGGGGGGGTTGGAGAGATACGAGGACCAGAATTTGAGGGCTCGGGGGTTTGGGTGGAGCGTTGAAGCCCAGTGTGCCCAGTCGATATAGGTTAGATTGTCTGGTACGGTGGTGTGGTTGGTTGGTTGCGCGTTTGATCTCAGGAGCTCGTATGTTTTGGAGACCCGGTTGAGATAAGTTGCCATTGTGGCTGCGTCGCCAACGACGTGAGACATGACAACTACCAGCATGGCTTGCATGGGGGTCCCTATAATAATCGAGACATCTACTGGTGGTTCCGTGCTTAGATCAAACGATTTGGTGATTCTGCCGTGGACAAATGAGCTGAGGTTACCGGTTTGGACCACGCGAGGCACCTTGACAGCTGCTGGAGCCTGTTGCCGGAAGAGCGTACCGTTAATAACTGAGTACCTGGTGCGAAACACTTCAATATCTGCCGTAACCCTCTGGAACGCGTCTGCGAGGGTTTCAGCGTTGATGTCGCCCCGAATCTTGCATACAAAGTTCATGTTTCCGGCCGGCGAGCCGCCAGATATGAGATGGTTGAGCAACATTTCTTTCTCGAGGTACGAGAGTGGAAGTCGGTCGTCGCGTGGCACCGGGGACATCTCGAGGAACGGCGTTGTTGAAACTGTTCCTGTCCGGTCACTTACAAGCTCGTCGATGGCAAGAGACAAGTCTCCAAGGCTATGATGGCGAATTACTTGTTTGAGTGGCAATGGTCGGATATCCCAGCGTTTGGAAATGGCTTGAGCGACTTTGATCTGCAGTAAGGAGTGGCCTCCGAGCTCAAAGAAACGGTCACTGGGACTGATGGGCATCCGGTTCAGATCACGCCCAAGCACATCTGCCCATATGGCCGCAAGAGTCCGCTGCATATCGGTCTCGAGGTCTTCAACGACAGCACCGTCCTTTTCTTGATCTCTCAAATACCTCTGCAATGCAGACGAGTCGACCTTGTTATTTGCCGAGGTAGGAAGTGTCGCAAGCGCGATGATTCGATTTGGGACAGCGTACTGTGGGAGCTGCGACTCCAGGCTTTTGGCTAAGCACTTGACGTCAATGGTCTCAGGCGTCATAAAGGCAATCAGATTTCCATTAGACACAATGAGTGCCACATTTTTAGCCGCTGAGGCTAGTTTGGAGATTGTGCTTTGGACCTCCCCAAGGTCAATGCGAAACCCGCGAAGTTTGATTTGATTGTCTTCTCGTCCGATATACTCGATATCTCCGTTCTCCAGCATCCTTCCAATGTCGCCCGTCCGAAACATAACTTGGCCAGGGTTAAACGGGTCGCCAAGGAAGCGTTTGGCTGTTTCTTGCTTGTTGTGAAGATACCCCGGAGTGACCTGCACTCCCGAGATATAGATTTCCCCGCTCACTCCAATTGGTACGGGACGTCGGTTGGAATCAAGAAGATAGCATGACAGGCCCGGAAGTGGTTTACCAATTGACACCCTGTTCCCTGGGTGCAGAATTGCTGTCGTAGATATCAAAGTGCACTCGGCAGGACCATACCCGTTGATCAAAACTCTTCCGGCCGCCCATTTGTCGTTGAGAACTTGGGACACGGCTTCTCCAGCAACGGTAATTACCTTCAGGTTGGGATATTCGAGGGGTTCCAAGGTTGCAAGTAGGGACGGAGTTGCCATCGTGGCATCGACTCTCGCTAGATGGGCAATAGGGTTCTCAGGGTCTTTTAGAACCAGAGTTGCACCAAAGCAGATGGTGGAGAAGACTTCCTTGATGCAGCAATCAAACCCAAGGGACAACATCTGCGCATTGCGCTGGCCCGGACGGCAGTACAGTCGTCCTTCTGGCTGGGAAATCACATTTAGGATACCTTTATGCTGCAGCTGGACCGCTAAAATCTTATCAGTAACGAGTCGTGTAAAATTAATGTCGCATGATGGATATTGATTATACCTTTAGGCAAACCTGTACTTCCTGAAGTATAAACCAAGCATGCGACATCATCACCACTGGGAGGGTTGCGACTGGTTGCAATCGGTGAGCAGGAAGATGAAGACATTTCCGCCATAATTGACTCCATGTTTAGAGACGGGACCCCATTGCACAATGGGTCCTGAGTGGAATTGGCGTAGAGAATCAATGCTGCTCTGCTGTTTCGAACCATGTAGTCCTTTCTATCGCGAGGCAGTTTTTGATCAACTGGACAGTAGATAGCACCGGCTCTGACTATTGCAACCATGGCCAGAAGCCAGAAAAGAGAGCCATCACTAATCATGCAGACCACGCTCTCCTGCTGGATGTGCTGCGAAAGGCGCCAGGAAATATGCTCCGTCATCCTTCCAAACTCCCTATATGTGAGACGCCCCGTCAACCCTTCAACGGCACAGATATCAGGATGCGCTTGGATGGAGTTTTCGATAGCCTCCACTAGGCTTTCTGGCACTTCACGGGTGCAGGCCAGCTGCTGTGGTTTTGCAGTCAACATGTCATACTCTCGCTCGTTGAACATTTGTCCAGTGGCATTGCTCAAGTCCGTGTCTGGTTGCGCAGTAACTAGGGCCGCAAGGAGATTATCAAACTGGCAAATCATTCTCTGCACAATTGCATCACCAAAGTGTGACCGGCGATAAATAAATCGAACATCGAATTGGCCATCGGCACTATCCAACAGAACAGTGAGTGGGACCTGAGTGGCTTCATCATAGCGAATATCCCTAGGCTCAGGGACCTCGCTTGACTCCCAGGGGGAGTGTGGAAAGTCGTACTGCAAGGCAAAAAGCGTCTCGAAGAGCTCTGCCGGATTGCACCCACAGCCGTCTTGAATCAATGCAACAGGAGACCACTGGAACTCCAAGATATCACACAGCCGTCTGAACACGGACTGTACAAAACTGTATGTGGACTGCGCCTCCTGGGTGTCTATCGCTAGCGGTAAAGTATTAATCAGTGGGCCAACGATGTTCTCAACACCAGGTATTGGCAAGCTTCTTCCAGACAAAACAGCTCCGAGCACTGCGCGGTCTGTGCCGGAGTACCTGGAAATGAGAAGTCCCCAAGCAGCGTAAAGAAGTGTGGCCGGTGTAACTGCAAATCGATCCTTGGCGGCAGCCTCCAGTGCAGATACGCTGACAATGAGTCTCTGAGATAAAGCTGCTTGCGCATAGTCGCTGATATCTGAGGGTGGTGATACCCGAAGTCTCTGAGCAGGAGTATATCCACCTAAGTATTCTCTCCAGAATGAAACAGCTCTATCCGAGGACTCAAGCTTAAGCTGACCTATTGCTTGCGCAACTTGAGCAAATTGTGGTGGTGCCGGCATGGGTTTATCATCGAGACAAGAGGCGAAATCTCGCATCAAAGTTGCCATGGACCATCCGTCAACCAAGCTGTGATGGACTGTCCAGATAAACCGGGTTCGCTTCCTGGGAGCGACAATCAGAACAACTCTCGACAACGACGCTCTGTTCTCTGCGTCAAAGTTTGCGAACTCGGCCACATCCAGATGCTCTTCGCGTCGACAAACCGATTCCCACTCAGACTCCGTGACGAATTTCTGCTCCCACAAAAATCCCGGGTCCTGGGATATTACTTGGGCTCCATTTGATGCGGTCAAGACAAATGAGGTCCTCAGGATCTCGTGGCGCTGATGAAGACGAACCCAAGCAGCATGGAGAGTAGATGTGAGGTCTTGTTTCTCTGGATGATCAAAAGTAAAGGATGTCTTGATAAATGAAAGACCTGGAGTGGCAACACTAGCACCGAGCATTCTGGTTTGCATGTCGGTCATAGGTGCAATAGCCGCACCTTCATCGAGTGGCCGGGTCGTCGATATATCGAGCCTTAGTCGTTCTATTGAATCTTCTTGGGTAGGAAAGGCATGTGGGATATCGTTCAACTCCACGGCAGCGGCAGCTATATTTTTGACTGTATCCAACAAAAGCACTTCGGCGACACTGATACCAAACCCCATTCTCCTCAGGACCGAAACTAACATGACTGCTGCTAGTGAATGGCCCCCCAGATGACGGAAAGACGAAGCCTGAAGAATTTGCGATTCAGGTAGTCGGAGGACATGAGATAATCCTCTACGAACGGCTTCCACTGCACCGATACCTCTCTCAAGACTGGCCGTATTTGATCCTTGTTCCAGCTCATGCATGCGCATTAGGCTCTGTCGGTCGACTTTCCCGTTGCCTGTTGTGGGGAACTCGTCTAGTGAATATATCGCATCAGGGACTAGGAACGAGGATACCGTATTCGCAAGATATTCACGAAGTCCCTCTTTGGCGGATACGGGTGTGACAAAAGCAATGAGTCGACCCTGGGACATGAAGGCCGATGCGCTGTCAACTTTGTCATAGGACTGTAAAGCAGGCTCGACATCTGCTTCGAGGTTGATCAAGAAGCCCCTATTCTTGACCACACTGTCCCTGCGACCGCAAAACTGTAGTCCATGCTTGGTCCGCTTGCCGTAGTCACCAGTTTTGTAGATCAGGACACCATTCCTTTCGATAAAAGCGCCGTTTGTGCGATCTGGATCCTGGAAATATCCCAATGCGAGACCTAGGCCAGAGATGCAGATTTCCCCTTCTACGGACTCCAAACCATCCTCATCAAGTAATATAACAGTACTATATGAGATTGGGAAGCCAATAGTAATCGGGGATCCAGGCAGGAGTTGCCCCATAAGCGCTGTGCATGTTGTCTCGGTAGGCCCGTACGAATTGTAGAGCCTTCGACGGGGAGAGGACCATGCCTCTATCAATGATGGGCTTGGGCTTTCACCACCGAGGAAAACCTTTTCCACCGTATCGAAGCCCGCCTTCGGGTCCAGTGTAACCAGAATGCTTGGAGTCAATGGCAAAACGTGGCATGTTTTGGCTGCGGCTTCAAAGGTAGACGGATCGGCCAGAACCAGGGTTCCCCCGTTGCAGAGGGTGTTGAATATGACTCCGGCACAGACTGGATGCTTTAGATTAGAAGGATGTTCACATAATGAGAAGTCAGGCATACTAACCGTCAAACGCAATTGAGCAGATGAGCAACACCCTTGTACCATGTTTGGTGTTGAAATTGAATGGCAAATCGCCCCCTTCTTTCACGTAACAAGAAATGGATCTCTGGCCTATCTTCACTCCTTTCGGTTTCCCTGTCGTACCAGATGTGAAGATAATATATGCCAGATCGTCTCCTCTATCAATTGAATCCCCATCTTCTTGTGTACAATGGGTCCCGTTACTCTTTGCAACCTCATCCAAGTCGTTCCGCTCCAATTCCACAACTGGGTAAAGGTCGTAATCCTCCGGACACGCCGATGTTGATACGATGATTTGCGGGTTGACGGTTTTGAGAACAGTGTCTATTCGATCCTTTCCCCACGAGTCTGTGTCAATGGGCACATAAGCGGCGCGGAGTTTCATGATAGCCAACGTAGCTGCTACCATTGCGATTGATCTCTTCGATAGAAGGGGAACTATACAGCCTACGCCCACGCCGGCCAGGCGAAGACGTTTGCTCCATATCTCGGACAGAGCATCGAGCTGAGCATACGTGATCCTTTCCCAGGATCCCTGGTCTGCAGACTGTGTTCCATCTTCAATTGCGACTGATGAAGGGTGCTTTTGCAGTTGAATGTAGAAGTGGTCTAGGAGGGTAGGAGCTCGGTGGGCCATTGTAGAAGACGGCTGTATGGTGTTGGTAGTAGTGATAGTGAGGTTCATTGTAGCGGCCTTCCAACTAGTATGTGCAAGCCGTACAGCCTCGAAAGAGCCATTCCTTGGATGAAACCCAACGCCGCTTAATGCTGGCAGTTTCGAGCTGAGTGAGACGGTGCCTGACGGCGCCCCGAACGGCCTCGGGGGGTATACGTCGGCTCGTATGGAATATCCACCGAGCACTGCCAGCCGTAAGCTGACCTGGTAATTAATAGTAACATAAACACTACTTCCTTCGATAGGTTCCTGTCCAGAAAATAAATGCTATCGCTTTACTGACGGATCAAAAATCACTGAGAAACGTTGTACCTGACCGGCAAACATCCAGAATGGAGAACGAACTTGAGCATTTGAACTGGAACATCAAGCATGCATTGTCGCAGCTTGAAGGTCCTCTATCGCAGGAGCTCAATTCCTGTCTCGAAGTGTCTCCAACGTCTCTGGATTCGTCAAGTGCGGTTTACCAGAAGATCTTAGACACAGTGCAGGCGTTGGACAAGCTTCTCGTCACCCTGACTCCGCCTCATATGACGTTGGTAGATGGGGTTTTTGGTAAGCCTTTTCAAAACTCATACACTTTGTATAGCAAAAAGGAACTAATCGGAAATCAGCCTTTACCAACAGCAAGGTCCTGCTGTGTGCGTCCGAATATGCACTGGCCGATCACGTCCAGAAGCTCCAACCCTGCAGCATCTCGGAGCTAGCCAAAGCCACCGGATTGCATGAACAAGGCCTATTCCAGATCGTCCGGTATCTTCGCGAGATGGGGTACTTCTCGCAGGACCCCGAGACCGGTCTGTTGTCCAACAACCGTCTCTCCAATCTCCTACGCAAAGACCACTGGGCCACCTGGCTTAATTGGGTTGACTTTTTCCCTCGCGAGTACTATGACCTCCTCTCGCGCCTCCCGGACCAGTTGAGTATTGATCAGCCGAAAACTGCCACCGAGCTTTTCTACAACACCGACAAGCCCATCTACCAGTATCTGGCCGAAACGGGCAGAGCTGCTGGCTTCCACAAAGTCACCGGTACGGGTAGCGTCGTTGAGGCTCCTGGGCTGCTTGCCGACTACCCATGGGACGAAGTCAGGTCGGAGACCGTGGTAGATATCGGGGCTGGAGTAGGAGACTTTATCCGGTCTTATCTGGAGAAGTTCCCCGACGCCACGGCCGCTGCATTCGAGCTTCCTTCGACCGCAGAGATCCTCAAGCAGCGATTCCCCGCCGATGACCCTCTGACCAGTAGAATCGTCTCAATCACTGGAGGAGATTTCTTCCAGGACTCGATTCCCAAGTCATCTGTCTACCTTCTCCGATGGATCTTGCATAACTGGGGCGACGAGGATTGTATCAAGCTGCTTCGGCGGATCCGGGAGACCATGATCATCAAACCGGGAGTCAGCCGGGTTTTGATTGTTGAGTCAGTCTTGTTTGACGGGCGTCTGGGACGCGGGGCTCGGTACGCAGATATTCGCATGCTGGCGAGGTGCAGAAACAAAGAGCGCACGCTGGAGGAGTACCGAAAGCTGGCGGAGGAGGCTGGATGGCGGCTGAACCGGGTGGTCTCCCCTCGCGGATGTCTCACTCAGATCATGGAGCTGCGCCCGGTGGGTGCATGTGCGGTGTCACCGCATGCTAATGGCAATGGCAATGGTGTAGGAGGATTGGAATGGGAGTCGGAGTTGATGTAGGGTAGATTAACAGGGGACGCTCGAACAGAATGAAATTGTGATGAATCTTGTGGAGATGGACAGTGTGGTTATCTTGTCTGTAGACAGCCTGATACCAAAAGAAAGAGGCTAGAGTATTGAAGTCCATATGTGTTACATCAGCGTGCTATCTAACATAATTCCTGTGTGAGTTGAACACAGTACTCTATAAGTACTGTACTCTCACATTCCAACAGAGGCCCAGAGCACAGCCATTCAGCCCCGGCTCCAACAACAAATCCCAGTAGACAAGACGCAGGCGGAAGGGCGAGCTGACTGGGCCCGGGAAACTCGGGCATTGACTAGTTCTGAGACTTTGAGCTTTTTGATGTAGCAACCTGCACATGCTGCATTGTACTCCGTATAAGGAAAATTTCTCCGCATCTTCCGAAGCTCCGAGCAACGCAAAAAAGATCCGCATACCAGGGCTTATCTATATAGATATTTGTTAGACATGGAATACCGCTATGATTACAGATATGAGACCCTATCCTGACTGGGATATAGTCCGGACACCGTTTTGGCCTAGTGGTATAATATTTCGATAATATTATATACTACCTTACTAATTCGAAAACAAAGGCGTCGTTACTTGCATTTCTCCAGTGGCTTCCCGCAAAGGGCCGGGCTACTGTGGCCAGAGACATCAAGCATGCAACAAGTGACAATTTGCTCTATGATGTCTTTCACAATCTCTTCACTGGTCTCGCGGCGCCGAGTAAGTCCAGAGTTGCTCTAATAAGCAGCAGTCATTGCTAATCTCTGAAACAGTGAAAGCACGCTCACGACAGCCTTCCCTGACAGACTCACCGCACAGCAAAAGACAGGAGCAGGTAGAGGCTGTGGCCTCTAAACTTGACCAGCCGAGCACCCGTACTGAGGACTTTCGAAAGTTATGTCTGAAACCCGAAAACATCAACAATATCTCCAACGGGATGACGCAGAGAAAAGCTCTCCATGAGGAGTTCTGGAGGTTCAGCCTCGCTTTCAAGCCCACTGTTAGTACCAATCAAGCCGACATACATACTGTTATCCAGGTTTACTGACAGAGATGTGTGCTATTAGGAGGATGAGAATGTATATGAGCTAAGAATCTTTGAAAGCCAATTTTCAGACTTTGAATTGGCGCACCTCCCTCCGACACGCAAGGTTACGTTTAAGAAAGCAAAAGACGCACAGGACATAGAGCTTCCCAGTGCCGCATTCCTGGACTGTCACTGGAGACTCTCAGAGATCTTACATGCCTCTGGCATGGCTGAGGTCATCGAGAAGCATCTGCGAGATTGGGATGGTATAAAGGGAAGTACAGACTGCCTAAGGGAGGACGGGGGTACGGATATTGGGGAAATTCTACAAGTGGGCCTTTGGCAACGGGTCGTAGGATAAGAACTTCTGAATACTAATACTATGTCGCTGATGAGATGACATGTACTGCGAAATGAGATAAAGCACACCTACAGAGAGGTAGTCAAATCGAGTGCAGCAAACTCCTAGGTTCTACAAGATAGAATCGCCTCGTAGAGTGGTTCATTCGATTAAGCTATTATCTAACATACAAGGAGTAACCCTTTCAATCAATTACTAGCTGGGCCCATCCATCAAACTTTCTTCAAGAGTCGCGGTCCGCCCTTGCACACCCGAGCGGTCGCCGTGCATAACCCCCCGAGAATCATTGTTGCTCCTGCAAAGCACATCAGACCCGTGAATTTGTTGCCTTCGCGGTCTTTGATTGCCCCTTCGATGGGAAGGCCGGTCAATGCTCCCAGCGCGATGGCCAAGCAGAACCCGCCGAGCTTCACCCCGATATCCTCCACACGGTCATTCGCAAGGGAAACGACACATGGGGGCCCGAGACTCACGAAGCCGCCGCTGACAAAACCAAACAGCAAGGCAAACACGATAATACCGGCCAGAGACGTATGAAACTCCAGTGGCAGCCAGAAGGCCAGCACCAAGACTCCGGATAGACTGGTCACGATGCACATGGTGTTGAACTGTCCGATGATGTCACTTATCCAACCAGGCACAATCCGGCCAACCAGGGATCCTGCATTGGCAATAGCCAAGGTATACTGAGCAAAGTCTTGATATCCATGGAGCGACGCCATCTCTGGGAGGTAATTAAGTGGCGCAAAAAGGCCCCACATGGTGAAGAAACAACCCAAAACGAAGAAACCCCAGGGCAAACTCTTAAACCCACGAAGACCACTGCGGGGCGCAGCATCTTTGTCTGTGGGGGTTCCTTTACTTGCTTTACCAAGCGGCGGGAAAGGAGACGAGCAGAGAAGGTTGGCAATAAATAAAAGGATGCCTTGCATGAGTGCAGTCCAACGAACAGCCGACGCGAAGCCGACCTGTTCAATCAGTCGAGGGAGCATACATGGGTAAATCACTCCACCTGCGTCCGACATTAGCCATCCATTGAGGTTGATTTGTTGTCAGAGGTTCGTATTCTCACCTAGACTGCTACCTGCGGACACAATGCCGACTGCCAAACCTTTCTTAGTCGAGAACCACTGCGTCGCCGTTGCCATGGCAGGAAGAGATAGCCCAGCGGCAGCCAGACCGAAGGCGACTCCCTGCGCCAGCATGACCTGCCAGTACTTGGTGCACAAGCTCAGCATGCACACCGAAAACACGGCCATAATGCTGAATGGCGGGAGCGTCCTGCGGCATCCATAGACATCAATCAATTTTCCCACAGCAGGACCGAACATGAAAAGCAGGAAGATCTGTAGGGTGGTAATCCATGCCAAGGCCGACGAGCTTTGGTCCTTGAACATGGTCTCCTGGTAGTACAATTGGAAGATTCCGCATCTATTCTCGAAGAATCAGTTCATTGTTCTCAGATGTACGGAGAAACGAGGCGAAGAGAGAATAGAACAGAATAGATACGTACGCATTGACGTAACCGAATGAACAAAACTGTAGCAGAAACGAGCCTGCAACGCAAGCCCATGCCTTGGCACCACCATTAGGCGGGACTCGCTCGAGGGGTTTGGGGGCCACGCCTTTCTCCTCGCTTTCTATYGGGCTAATCGCCGAGGGAGCCTCGTGCTTAGGCACTTCCGACATTGTGAGGGAGTATATGCGTTGAGAAGCAATTACCGTAGATGATCAAAGGTGGGAAGAACACTAGAGTAGAGGACGATGGTCCATGGTGCGGAAGTCTTTTAAAGGAGGCCATCAGCTCGGCCTCGGGGAAGGGGGTGAATATACAGAAGTTCGGCCTGAATGCAACGGCGGAGGGTTCGTGCGGAATAATAATAGTAATAGTAATAGTAATAGTAATAGTAAT